CCCTCCCCCCCTCCCCCCTACCGCCCCTGGGCTGTTCCGGCTGGAGCTGACCGGGTCCCACCGGACACACGAGCTCGGCTCGGCGGTGACGGCGCTATGCTACCCCGCTTGGCCACGCCCCGCCCGCCAACGTCCCCGCCACGTCCACGCCGAAAACCGGACGTGCACATCAAGAACAGGATTCGTGGGACGACCGCCAAGACGATGCATCACTTTTGTACTGAGTTTGATGAGAAATTTCGATGCTTTGTGGGTTAGTGCCACTCAATATTTTTTATGAGAACGGGGGGTCTCAAAGCGTTTTTCCCTGCCTCATTTTGTTAGTTTAACCGCAAAGCCATTACCTCTTTCTCGATGGTAGTTGTTCGTTAAAGACTGAAGCCTTATTGAGGACCCTGATGAATGGTTTGTAGCTTTTATCAATGGCTCCGTGTTGCGCTCCGTTTGGGCGGGCGGTGTACGCCCACACGACTTGACTACAGCTCCGAGTGGCTTTGAGACGAAAAAGTTGCCTTCCTGCAAGGCGCAACTGCACGAGAGGAATGGGAATGAAAGTAGCCACGGTCTAAGGAAACGTGTTTTATCTATAGAAAAATAGAAACATTCCGAGGCCCAGACAGAACACACTGCATTCGTTTCAGCCGATGAAATGCACGTTGATGGATTTGCGTTTGCAGTGTGTGGGGCCTCCTACTACAGAACTATACCACAGATTATTTCTTCCGTCATGATCTGACTCAGTCGTTGTCACTAAGCTAAAGTCTGTCTACCCGCCCTTTGCGCGCGTCTTGACCTTGTCGGGGGCCTTGGCCTTTGGCCCCTTGGCGCAGTGGCAGTACTTCTTGAGGTCGGCGCTATGGATACAGTGGCTGTGCTCCCAGAACTCGTTGATCCTGCTGATGGAGCCCAGCAGGTCGTACTGCACGCTCTGCTTGTCGTTCTCGCCGCCCCCGGTCCGGTTGACGCGCACCGTGGCCTCGAACACGGCCCGGCCGGGGGTGGTCTCCATGATGACGATGAAGTCCTGGGCGGAGCGGTCCAGCTCGCGGCCTCGGACTGACTTGACGCGCTTGAGGGAGAGCGACGCGCAGTGCCAGCCCGCGCTCAGGACGGCGCCGTTGGCCCGCTCGCCCAGTTTGTCCTCGATGAACCGCACGACGTGCTGTGCCGCGGCGCGCGCGCTCTTGTCCTCGGTGGAGAGGACGCGGTACTCGGTGCACGTGCACCAGTGCTGCTCGACGGCCACGTCGGTGCAGCTCCGCTCCGCGGCCACGGGCCGGAAGAGGGACGAGCACCCGGGGCACGCCGCGCACCCCCCGGAGTCCAGGGGCGGGTCCTGGGGTCGGGCCCAGGGCGCGCGCAGCACGTCGCGCAGCGTGATGTGCACGTCCCACGGCGTGGTCAGCCGGTCCTGGTTGAGGCGCATCCCCCGCTCCAGGTCCGGGTAGCGCTGCCGGAAGGCCTCGGGCAGCCACACGTTGATGAACGGCAGGCGCTCCTCCAGCCACCCGACCTGCAACACAGCCGAGGCGGTTGGGTTGCCTGCCCGGCGGGCGCTGCGCCTGGCCGCGCCGCCGCGATGGGCTCGACTATATTCCCCCCACTGCGCTCACCTCAGTCTCCCGGATCTTGCCGAAGCGCATGCCATGGTCGCTGAGGAACAGCACCATGGTGTTGCGCAGCGCCCCGGACCGCAGCAGGTCCCGCCAGAAGTGGAAGAGGCGCTCGTCCATGGCGCTGGGCGAGTTGACGCTGTTGTGGCTGAACGAGTTCATCCAGAAGAGCGCAAAGTACAGGTGGTCCCGGAGCAGCGTGGCCATGCTGGACGCGTAGCCGAGGATGTGCTCCGCCGCGGTGGAGGGCCCCAGGCAGGCGCCCAGCCGGTGCAGCCTCCGCACCTGAACAAGGAGGCCGTCAGCTGTGGCTGACCCCGTGCGCATGCGCGACGCGTTGCCCCCGACACCTACCTCCATGTGCTCCTGGGCGGCCAGCAAGAAGGGCCGCATGTAGTAGTCGGTGGGCGCGTGCGCGAACCCGGCCTTCTTGTAGTTGAAGGTGCCGATGGTGGGCTCGTCCTCCACGTAGGCCGTCACGTAGCCCTCTCGCGAGAAGTTGCCCCACATGATCGGGCAGCTGTCCATCGGCGTCATGGCCGTCTGGAAGCACGTGGCCTCCACCTGGGGGAGCAGGGACGGCTGTAACCGTGTCCTCGTGAACCCCTCCTAAACACCCAGCGCCTAGCTAGCGCAGCGCGGACGCACCTCGGGCCGCGTCATGCCCGTGAGGATGGCCATGAGGTTGGGGAAGGTGTTGTCCTCGATCTTGTTGTAGCCGCGCAGCTCGTACCAGCCGTACTGGCGCAGCAGGTCCGAGGTGCGCGGCATGGTGCGGAAGTAGTTGAGCCTGGACACCGAGTCCACGCCGATGATGAGCACGGACAGGCGAGGGTCTCCGGGCTCCCTGCAACAGCCGGGATGGTGACCAGTGATCGTTCGTGAGCCTGCATGTGGCTGGCTGACGGCGACCTGGACGCTACCACTCAGAGCAGAGATACTAACCGGGCAGGGTGCGCTCGGAGCTTCGCTCGCACCGAGGCCTTGGGCGCGACCACGGCGTGCATGTTGGTGTAGACCTTCTTGGTGCGCCAGCCCGGCCGGCTCGCCGAACAACGCACGATGACGAACTCGACCTCTGGGTCTAGCTGCGCCTCGCCCACCAGGTCCTCGCAGCGCCCCATGCTGTGGCAGACAAAGCGGTGCGTGATTTCCTGCAACAACAGCTTGTGTACGCAGAGACTTATGGCCGCGAAAGAACAACTAACTGTTGTTGTCAGAGATGGCATATTCGTCCCGCCTATCTCCGTAGCTAAGACTGCCGCGTGTACACGCCGAACTCATACGGAATTACTACGCAAAGTGGACGCGGCAAACCAACGGCCTGGTACTTACTTATACTTATTGTCGACTTCCTTATCGAAGGCTTTGGCGTTGGGTGCCGGGTCGACACGGGTGACGCTCTGGTAGCAGCAGGTGATGTTGTGGTAGAACCTGGGCATGTACTTGGGCAGAAGGTCGTCGTCGAGGCGGAGCAGGTGCATGGCCAGCGGGTACCCCGGGGCGTCGACGTCGGCGAACGCCACCAGCCGGGTGTAGGTCAGCGGCGGCAGCGCCGAGCACACGACGGGGTCCTCGCGCTGCACCAGCTTCTGCAGCGACGGGTGGTACGGGTCCGTGTCCGGGATGCGGCAGACTGGGCTGTACACCAAGTACCCGGGCGGGGGCAGGCCTGCGCCGACAAAGAGAGACGGAGGTGTCAAGGTTTATTCTGTCCTTCCTGTTTCAGATGTCGGTGTACTCCTCCGCGCCCAGCTGGTCCTCACCTGACTGGTTGGCGGTGGCGCCTTCCCTGTGCTGGTGGCCCAGGTTGCTCACGGTACCCAGGGGGGCCATGAGCGGAATCTGGAGGCCCGTCGGGTGGACCAGCTCGCCGCTGGGGTCCGAGGCCAGGAAGTACAGCAGCGCCAGCGCCCCGCATCCCGCCACGGCCAAGGAGGCCTTGAACAGCGCCAGCGCTCGCCGCACCATGCCTGTGTGGGGCAGAGGAAGCCGAAAGGAGCAAAGGTGACTTATAGTTATGGATGGCTAGATAGACAAGACGTGTTGACGTGTTGGCTTCGAGCCCCC